TCAATCACCCCTCATACGTACAGAATCCACACCAGCACAGGTAGCCAGAGGTTCAATATCTTTCCAAGCTCCAGGGCCACGGGATGGGCCTGGGTATGAGTTTGGCTCAGAGGAGTTCCTGAGGTGCTCCCACCCTAGAGACAGTATTACCTGCAACCTCCAAAGGCCCCAGACCCACGCATAACCCCATTTCCATGCTGGGTGTCTTAGTCCATTCAGGCTACTATAACAAAATCTTATCAACTGGGTAGCTTATATTAATAAATAACAGAGATTTATTTCTAAGTCCCGGAAGCTGGGATATCAAAGTTCAAGGTGCCAGCAGTTCGGTGTCTGGTGAAGGCCCTCTTCCTCATAGATGGTGCCTTCCAGCTGTGTCCTCACAGGGTTGAAGGGACAAACACTCTCCCTTAGGTATCTTATTAGGGCACAGATCCCATTCATGAAAAATCTACCCCTATGACCTAATCACTTCCCAAAAAGCTCGACTGCTTTTATTTTTCAGATGAAGTCTTGCTATGTTGCCCAGGCTAGACTCAAACTCCTGGGCTCAAGCAATTCTCCCTCTCAGCCACCCTAGTAGCTAGAACTATAGGCATGCACCACCATGCCCGGCCAATATTTTTCTATTATTTTTATACGCATTCCACTTTCAATATCATCACTTGGAGGTTAGAATTTCAACATAGGAAATTTGGGGAGACACAAACATTCAGACCCTACCTCTGGGTTCCCCCAAGAAGGTCCCTGAGCCGAAGCCCTGGGATCCTCCTGTGCCAGCCAAGCCTGATTCAGTGAGAGCACTAAATCCATGCCTTTCTATTCCATTCTTTGACAGGGGGCCATGTGGACATCTCCCTGTTCCAAGTGGCCCACTTTAAAGACGAGGGGATGCTCCTGGAGAAGCCAGCCAGAGTGGAGCCACATTACACCATCCTGGAAAACCCCAGCTTCTCCCCCACGGGAGTTCTACTGAGAATGGTCCATGCTGCCCTGTGCTTCATTCCTGTGACCCCCACAGTGTTGCTCTACCATCACCTCCTTCCTGGGGAAGTCACCTTCCACCTCTACCTGATCCCCAGTGACTGCTCCATTCAGAAGGTGACACTAAGAGCCAGAAAGGCTGGGCCAGAGTGGGCTGGTGATAAACACAAAATGCAGACAGAGAAGTCCCAGAGAGGCTCTTGACAAGGATGGGCCTCTTGTAAGTGGGAAGGTCTAAGTGGGTGAACAGTCCTGCCCCCTGATGAGCCACAGGCTGGGCTCCTGACTCCCTAAGGTCTCCCCAGCTGGGTTCACTGCTCCGTCACTCATCTTTGCACAACTGTTTGCAGTCTCTTTCCAGGAGTCAAAGGATAAGAGGGCTCTGTGCCTAAAACCAGCCTTTCCCCATTCTTACTTCTTCTCAAGCAATGACCCTATTCCCACCCTGAAGATGGCAGAGGCCCAATGTGGGGCTGTCTGTGTGGATGTGCTTCAAGAGACAGCAGTGCAGGGGTGGTATACCAGCACCCCCACAAACACACAAACACAGAAGCACCATCTGACCCATTCAGACCAGGTCCCATGGATCAGAATCCTCTCTTAATCATTGTTCTGTATGTTCCTTAGGCCATCGATGACGAAGAAAAGAAGTTCCAGTTTGTGCAAATACACAAGCCACCCCCGCTGACCTCACTGTATATGGGCTCTCGCTACACTGTGTCTGGCTCAGAAAAGCTGGAGATAATCCCTGAGGTGAGCATCCCAGTGTTTGCCCCTTGCCTGGATCAGAGGGGATGCTCGGGAATCC